ATGGGCTCGCATGACCTTGGATCGCTCTTGGACCACTCACCTCCTTCATTCCCCTTCACTCCTGATGTCAGGGTTCACGACCTTCCTTCTGCCAGATTGAAAGCGGCAACCATGAACAACCACCATCCTCTTCCCTGATACCCTTTCGGTATAAATATACATTTTGCCTTTTTTTTTCCATTACTTCAGAGATTACTAAGTACAAACCTCTCATGGTTTTCCCAAAAGATATCCAAAGAATTCTATTTTTTCCTGAAAACTGCCTTGCCCATGGTAACTTGATATTGTACTAGTGAAACTCCTCCATTGCTCCGAGCAACCAATCTACCTCAGCTCTTGCTAGCGAAATCGACGTGTAGAAACCTTGACCGTTCTCACATATGCTCATACCATCCATCAACCTTCCCTCGCTAATCAAGTAGAAAAACTTATTCTCCACGGGTAGAAACTTGCAGCCGCTCAGGGAAGGCATATCTCCTGAGGCCAGCTGGGGCCGCAGGTTGTTGGTTCGAACACAGAGAGAGAAAGAGAGAGAGAGAGAGAGATAGAGAGAGTCGCAATATCTGCCCAAATTTGAATAGGAAGGGCCAAAAGTTGAAGTAACCCAGCTGAACTCAAATTTTCGGATTTGTGGTGCTGACAAATCGGGAAAGAAGACACATAGTTGACAATAGTGGACCTCATCATCAACTTTGATGCGATGTAGAGTCATTTGGGATCCTTCATGTGCACTATCATTATAACTATACAAAATAGAAGCAATTAATGGAGAAGTGGGCAACAAATAGATACGTTGTTTGTAGAGAATCAACTCTTTCTATACAGCTCAAGTAGATTCTTTTTCTCCTTGCACAACTTGTGAGTATAGTTTTTGTAAGAAAGAATCAGTAGTGACTTCCTTGTGGATGACATTTAGAAGCGAAAATTGAGGGTTGCTGATGGCATTACACATTGTTTACTTGTTGTCATATCAGACAGAGCATCCACAACCCAGTTTAAATAATCAGACCAGTATTCGAGAGTGAAATTAAATCCCAAAAGTTTGTTAATCCATTGTTGTTGAGGAGAAGTAGTGATCCGTTGTTCTAATAAAAACTTTAAATTGTAATGATCAATGCGAATAAGGAAGACTCTTTTCCACAAATACGAGTGCCAATGTTGTATTGTCTTGGCCAACCTGATCAATTCTCGTTCATAAGTAGCTATTTTGTGATATTGTTCAGCCAACTGGCGACTAAAAAATGTAATTGGGTAGTTGTTTTGTTGTAGAACAGCCCTTATACTGCATCTTGACTCATCACATTCTACCACGAACAGCTGCTCAAAGTCAGAAAGTTGTAGGACCGAAACAATAGCTAATGCTTGCTTTAATTTATCAAAGGAAAGTTCAACTGTTTCTTCCTGAAAGAAAGAATTTTGTCGTAACATACTAGTCAATGGTGCCGCCAATTGTCCAAACTCCTTAATGAACTTGCGGTAATAATTGACCAATTTTAAGAATCCTCGTAAAGCAATCACTGAGTGAGGTTTTGGCCATTCGGATATAACTTGAATTTTTGCAGGGTCTACCGTCACACCTATAGTAGAAATAATATGTCTAAGATAAGCAATTTGGGTCTCCTCAAAGGCACACTTAGACTTATTCAAGTATCAATGGTTAGCACACAATAATTCAAAAACGAAACGCAATTGTAGCAAGTGACTTTCCCAAGAATTGCTGTACAGTACGATATCCTCAAAGAAAACCAGTATAAATTTGCGAAAATGAGGACAAAATAATTCATTCATAAGAGATTGGAATGTAGAAGGTGCATTGGACAAGCTAAAAGACATAACCAAGAACTTGAAGTGCCTGTGATGTGTCCGAAAGGCTGTCATTTCAATTGTCGAGTCATGCATCCTTACTTGATGGTATATAGATTTCAAATCCAGTTTAGTGAAGTACTTGGACTCATGCAACTTATCGAATAGCTCATCTACTATTGGAATAGGAAATTTGTCCTTAATCGTTTTAACATTGAGCTCGCGGGAGTCCACATAAAACCGCCAAGTCCCATCATGCTTCTTAACCAATTGGTGAGGAGAATGGAGACTTGCTGGGTATGATGATCCCTGTTGAAGCATCTCAACACACTATCTTTCAATTTTGTTTTTCTGCAAATGTGGGTATCGATAAGGTCTAATACCGCTTGTCCTGCTCCGGGTTGTAGACAAATTCATTGGTCACAGTTTTTGAGAGGTGGAAAGCCGGATGGTTACTGGAAACAAGTCATTAAACTCGGATAAGAGCTGCTCTAATTCCTCCTTATGAGGATAGGGTCCAATAATATGGTTAAGTTGTCAACCATGGTGGG